GGTCACCAAAACTCCAAAACCATCACACTTGGCAGCTAAAAGATGGCCCAAAACTGAGGCCCACACTGTTGTTGACTGCCTACTGCCAATTAATGACTAGAGACCACTGTAATCAGCCACAGGTAAAACTGGGGATAAAAACCAATAAACCAGAACTGTTCTAGAGGGGCTTTCCATAGGCAGGCCTGAGGACAGGGACTGTTAGGTTCTGCCAGGTGTTAGGTTTCATACAGTCAGAATTGACCTGCAAGGCAAAGTCCTATGCTTAATATCTACCCAAGGTTGGGATAGTGCTAATATACTCCATCCCAACTTATGATCCAATATTGGTGGCTCACCTCTTGTAGTACAGTTGTCTCAATCCTAGTACTTGCAGATGAACCCTCTACATCCGCCCTGCCACCAGTGATATAAGTCATAGCTGTGCTTTCTATAAGGACCTGCAAAGCTTTGGGGGGGGGTGCGTATATCGTGGTCCACATTACAGTTATTGGTAAATCAAGCCAAATTCTAAAGGGTCTTACCTCTAGCCCAGGGTATACCTATGCTTGCCAAACATTGGCATTACAGGCTAATGCTGGAATCTCACAGCCACAGGGACCAGAACAGTCTGGTGTTGGGTGGTAGTGAACAAGCCCAACCCAAGGCTGAAGATGGTCTAAGCCAAAACTTGAGTCTCTCCTACAAACTCTCAGATCTCTTTCAAGATGCTCAAGCATGCCTAGAGGCTGCATCTAAGATTTGGGCTATGTAGGTTTGGTTTCTACCTGACACAAGACTTCTCCAAAGTAGGCAGAGTCCTGTGGTAGCTTTTGTGTTCTGCTCCCAGAAAGTAGAATCTTGCTTTCTTCTTTGCTACCCAACATTGGGAAAGAGAGGTAATTCTTTAGCCAGTTAACACAGTTCTAGTGGTTCAGTCATGAATGCTGGCCTGGGGATAGGGCTTATGGGCCCTGCTTGGCACTAGATTCCCCCTGGCAGGCCTGATACTAGATTTGCAGTCTAAGTCCTTCCATGGGTTTTCTCCTCTCATTACTCCATCTTCTCTCTCCATGGTTCTTGAGTTGAAAGAGGGTTGCTGTGGCAACTCTTTTCTTCCTGCTTCTTTGGTGCATCCTTCCTTATTATGCCACTAAAACCACGTAGTCTTGTCTCTTACCTGTCTTAGCTCTTGTAAATGAATAGTTATTCAATGGGGTATGTCTATGGTAATATTATCATTAGAGGATTTGACTCAGCTGCCATCTTGCTCTAGCTCCTATGACATTTAGGTAGAAGAGTAATGTTAGTACCATCTGTATGTTCCTAATGTCTAATGAAGTTGAAAATCTTTCCACATATGAATTTGCTACCTGTAGATCTTCTTGTATGAAATACCTACACATGCCTTTTGCTCATTTTCTAATTGGTTCATTTATTTTTAATAATTCCTTGTACTCGTGTATGTTTTTTCTTTTTATTCTTTTAATTTAATTTGTTTAGAATTCCATACATGAGTACTATGTTCATATCATTTTCACTTCTTTCTCTCCCTGTTCCAACTTTTTATGTATCCTTCCTCTTGAATTCATGATATCTTATTCTATAATTATTATTGATATTTATGTAAATAAATATACTGAGTCTATTTGGTGCTGCTCATATGTACATGTCTTTAGGGGCCACTTGGGATGGGATAACCCATCAAGAGGCTTGTCCCTGGAGAAAACTGATTCTCCTACTCTCAGTAACCATTGATTGCCTGTAGATCTTCATCTAGGGGTGGGACCAAAAAGCTACAGAAAGAAAACAAATAAAGTTATAATTACTGAAATATGAAATAGGACTAAGGACACAAGCAACAAAAAGGCAACAAAATAATAGTTATTAACACACACTTTTCAATAATAGTGTTTAAATATTAATGACCTTAATTCTCTAATCAAAAGATAAAGGGTTAGATGAACAGAATGAGAAACAAACTCTGTATTTTTGTTATCTATAAGAAACTCCTTTTGCCTTCAAGGATAGGTATCACCTTAGAGTGAAAGTTTGGGGCTGGTGTAACCAGGAAACAAGCATCACTACCCCAATGTGTTACAAAATAGACTTTTAGCCAAAATAAATCCAAAAAATTCAAGAAGAATACTTCATTCTAGTCAGGGGAACAATTAGACAAAAAATATTATAATCCTAAACATATATGCACCAAACTCTAGCACACCCAATCTCTTTAAAAGTATACTATTGTACTTCAAGATACAGATTAACCCGAGATCAATAACTGTAGGTGATTTCAGTACACTACTTTCTCCAACAAACTGGTCATCAGGACAAGAAATAAACAGAGAAACATAGGAATTGAGTGGCATCATACATCAAATGGACCTAACAGATGTCTACAGAATAGTCCACCCAAACACCAAAGACCATACCTTCTACTCAGCAGCCAATAGAACTTTTTCTAAAATACACCACATATTGGGATACAAAACAAATTTCAACAAATATGGAAAATTTGAAATAACCACATGTATCCCATCTGATCACAATGTAATTAGCTTAAAAGCAACAGCAAAAGGATCTATAGAATTATACAAACTCACAGAAGTTAAACAACACACTACTGAATGGTGAATGGGTAAAAAAAAAATCAAGAAGGAAATAAAAAATTTTCATGAAAATACAACATACCAAAATGTTCTATGAGGAAATTTTATAGTTCCTAGGGCCTACATTAAAAAATAAAAAAGAGCACAAACAAACCACTCAATGATGCAATTCAAGAATTTGACAAAACAAGAGCAAACCAAATCCGAATCCAGTAGACAGGAAGAAATAATAAAAACTAGGGAAGAAATAAGTAAAGTAGAAAAAACAATGAATTTAAGAGCTGGGTATTTTAAAAATATACATGATTGACAGACCCTTAAACAAACTAATCAAAAGAAAGAGTCACAAATTATTCAAATCAGATATTAACAGGGAAATACCATTTTTATGATAATTTATGTCAAACCTAAAATTATGCTGTAAAGCTTTCTGTTCCTATACTCTCTACAGTCCTCTTTTAGTACCTAGCAGTTCTTTATACTGCATTTTCTCTGTTAAAATTCCTGGTATGGATTTCATGTCTTAAGGTGGGTTCTGGATGACATGCAATCTAGGGTAGTAATGAAGCTTTGGGTATGACTATGAAAGTGGTAAAGGCATTTGGTAGAGGTAATCTTTGGGAAGAGATGTCAACAAGCAGAGTAATAAGAAGTTGGAAGGATAATCTGCATCAGAGTTAAAATCATAGCAGAGAATTAAAGACCATGTTTTAAGGGTTCACTGGACCAGAACCTTTGCCACATTAAGCCCATAACCATTGGGTGCCTCCAGAAATGACTCAAAATACTCAGTTTCAATGAATTATAACAAAAATCCAAGTTTGGGGTCTGGCAAGCAAGTGTTAATCTCTACATGTACATTCTAAGCCTTATGACCAGAGCTACATTTCCCTTCTTTGAACTCCTTCTGTTAAACTGAATGCTCATTTTTCTGTTTGCCTCACTGAATGAGTGTGACAGGACAGCATATATACTAACACATTCTCAGTAAAAATGAAGCCTTTATACTTCCTAAGATGCCTAGAAACATAAATTCTGTAGTAATGCTTCTCTCTATCTCTCTCTCTCTGGTCCTGGACCTACTCTAACCCAAGTATCCCTCTGTTTTTCTTTGGACCATTGCAACACCCTGCTATCCAACCCTTTAATAAGTCTTTCCAAAGCATATAAAACAACAACAATGGCTGTGGGTATGGCTCAGTGGCAAAGTGCTTTCCTGGCATGCACAAGGCCCTGAGTTTAACTTCTATCACTGTAAAATCTGAAATTAAAATGTATTAAAAATAATACAAAAAAACAAGCTGGACATAGTGGTATATACTTGTAGTCCAAGCACTTAGGAAATAGAGGCAGAAGAGTCAGAAGTTTATATCATCCTCAGTTACATAGTGAGTTCAAAGCCATTCTAGCTACACAAGATCTGACTTCTCAAAACAAAAGCAAACAAAATAAAATAAAAACAAAATACAGGGCTGGTAAGACGGCTCAGTAGCCAATGGGACCTGTCACCAAATGTAACAACCTGAGTTTGATCTCTGGGACCCACGTGATGGAAGGAAAGAACCAACTCCATCCTCTGACCTCTATACACACAGCATAGCACTCATGTACACATGTATAAGCAAGTAAACACACAATAATATAATAACAATAGAAAACAAATATAAAGGAACAAATCAACAACAACAACAAAGCAATAGGTCATCTAGCCTCTGATACCTATCCTGGCTGTCCATTACACATTTATGAGGCTCTATGATTTGTTATTGTTCATGAAGATGCCTTTGAGTAGGTTGATGCCTTTTTCTGGAATGCCCCCATCTCTGGCTAGCAAAATATTTTCCTTAAAAGCTAACATAAACATAACTTTGAGTATATAGAAATTATTTCTTTCACAGAATAGGAGGCATCCTTCTCCTCCACTGAGGCTCCTCTGCATTTGATTTATTCTTCTCTGAAAGACTTTTTATAACAAATGGCCTTACTCTGTGGTCACCTGTAACTATTCCACATCTCCTTTACTAACTGGGAAGGTAAACATGACTGTATCTCACTCAAATGCATCTCCTGAACACTCAGAAGGCAGCCTAGTATATGGTAGATATCTAGGGAATGCTAATAAAAAAGTTCCTAAGGTAGTACACAGAGTTATGGTGCAAGCATGATTTGCACTGGAAACAAATTTGACTCACATTGGTTTGGGAACCTATGGTGAAGAACACGGGGATAAAGGGGAATATTTTAAAAGGGAGATGTGGTTCATATATATGGCATGTACAAATATGCTATACAAACATAGAAGAAACCCTTCAAGGCTTATTGTCTTTTACTCCTTGGGCCAAGCTGGTCATTTCCCCTGACATTGGACAAATCCCCTTTTGCCCTCCACCCTAGTCCCTACTTTCCTACCTTAAGTATATATCAGTCTCCAGGCCAGAGGCACCATGTTCAACGGCCTTCTCAAAGGACATCATGGTATTCTCTGGTGCCAACTATGGAAGAAAGGAATGTCAAGACTTATGCCTTGGAGTCTCTCCTCCCAACATTTCTTTTAAGGTAGGCATAGAGCTTGGGGATAAAAGGGCTTTGAGAAGCAGAGCTTGACTCTGGAGATAAAAGGGCTTTGAGAAGCAGAGCTTGACTCTGGAGCTGTCTGTTCAAAGAGGCTGGCTGTTCCCCTCTACCCAGTCAAACACGGGACAGCGAAGAGAAGCTGATGGGACTTAGATGACCTGAGTTCAAATGCAATGTACACAGTTAACTTCTCATTCTTGTCATGTCAAGATTCCCTTTCCTCTCCAGGGTCTCTGATATTTCTGAGGTTCCATGCTTGGTTCCACATACTCCATACATACCTTCATTCATCCATGCTCATTATGCTCAGACCTACCATGGGTGCGCCTCTGTGTCCAAAGAAGGTAGGCTTGGGCCCTAAATCCTTCCTCTTCAGAACGCAGGGAGAATAAATCCCCATTGGCATCAAATAAAGACATAAAAGAATAAGAAGGAAGGGCAATCCAGCAGCTACTTGTAGAGCTGAAAAGGTTGGATGGGGAGAAAAGTGGGTAAAAAGGAAAGGAGAGATGGAGAACCATTTCAGACACCTAACTACCGCAAAGCTGCAGCTGATCTATATTTTATTTCTGTAACATCCTTCCTTTCAGATATAAATACACAGGATTGTTCAGGTATATAAGATTTTTTTCAGTGCTAGGTATTGAATCCAGGCCCTATGTATGGAAGGCAAATGCTCTACCACTAACCTACATTTCAGACAAAGACATTATAAAAGTAATATTGTTGGAACTTGAAAGTAAAAATGGAAAAACTGTACAGAAGGTGGGTGGGAGGAAGGGAGGGAAAGTTGGATGAGGGAGGGAGAGGAAGGAAAGAAGGGAAGGAAATACAAGAGACAGCTTCTCCGAGAAGAAGCTTGGCTGGCTCTGAGAGAGCCCTGAGGACTGAAAGATCATCCTAAGTGACCTTCCAGCTCAGAGCAGAGCAGTATAGTGGAAAAGGGACTCACAGAAATGTGAGTTCAAGGCTAAGCTCTATCACTTCTTGTTGTAATCAAGGACATGTGCTGTAACCTCTTGGAGTCTTCATCCTTTTTCTGTGAATTAGGTCTGTCTAGCAGCTAATAGTCTCACAGAGCTATTATAACAGTGCTGACGTACAATAGCTGATAAATATTAATTTTGTTTTTAACCTCTACTTTCTCTTCTTCATCCTACATATATCCACCCACACCCATCTCCCACACCACAGCCCATCCTTAACTCCTATTAACAACTGTGTTTTAGACCTCTGGGGATCCTACCCACTTGTACATTTTTAAGTTACTACCTATTTGCTTCAGTGACTTTCAAATTGAGATCTCCAGTTCTAACCTTGTAACCTTGTGAATATAGGACATCCCTCCTCGATTTCATGCTCGTAACCTGACATCTTGTATCTTCTTATTCTAACTAAAATAAAGAAAAAGTTTATTATTGTTAAATTTAAGCTCCTATCCAAGAACAATTTTCTAAAATTTACTAAACACACACTCACGCATGCACACACGCATACATGCACACATGCACACACTCACCAGCACCGCTATTAAACTATCCCTTCACTAGCCTGTATCTTCCCAGAAGCCAGGAAGCAAGCAAGTGCCTTTTATTTAACCAACAGTGAAAAGAGAGATGTATAAATAAGACCCTACAGCTTTCTACTTGCAAAGCAGTTCAGCATGCAGAACTCACTGTCTTGCTTCCAACAACATTGTAAAATAATTGAAAGGAAGCCAGCTTCAGAGGCAGCCATTCCTGGACATAGTATTACTTGAAACCAGTGATGTTTGTGTATGAATAGGCTACATCTTAGGTCAAAGCAAAATTGAGATGCCCTCTGCTGTCCCTATCTGCCCCCAGATAAATGATGTACATTAACAAAGGGAAAATGATGTTTTCTTAAAAGAATCCTTCTTAGAGGAAGGATGGCTTAGTCACAGAAATACTATGGTAGGCCACAAGGGTTTGTGAGACCATAAAGAACCTGCCTGCATAACAAATCAAAGAACTGCCAAAGAGGCACATGGGTGGCTACCTACCATCTGTTTCTCTGAGTGGAGTATACAAGCTGGGAAGATCATGCATACCTTCTGATTCCAAGTGAGCCATAATGATGGCTAGAGGCCAGGAAAGTATAATCATCACAGTTAGGAGGCTCAGGTGCACAAAGGGAGCAAAGATCTGGGGAAAAGCCAAAAGTCAGACGAGATACATCTGGACACAGTGATAAGCACTACAGACTGATGCTTACCTGCAGTGACAGCCCAGCTATCAGCCACTTGTCAGTCCAGTATTTGTTTAAAATAGCTAGTAAGAAGGAGCACAGCAGAATTACTAGCAAAATGAGGATCTGGGGAAACAGAAAGAGCTTTTTAACTTCTAGGCACCAGATTTGGATCAGAACCATTCTTGTGAATTGCATGTGATTATTTATACTACCATGGACCTGTCTTTCCGATCTAACAACCTTGCAAGTCCTCAATGATGAGTGACTCCAATAACTCACCTTCATTGTTCCTAATTATTTGTTGTGTGGCATGACTGGAAGAAATTACATAATTGTGTGGCTTGATGCTACTACCAATCTAGCATCTCCCCTCAGCCAGGCCTTTTCCAATTATTTTCACCTTTAGCCAGCCATCCCATTTCAATAACAGCATTACAAACCTTTATCTTCTCTTGGACTTTTTTTTAAAGAAATATAATCCAAGATCTCAAATACATAAAATCAAAATTACTAGCCTATCAGAAAACCAATTGCATCACAACAGTTGAACTGCTGAATTTATCTCTTATCCAGTTCCAAACTTTACACATAATTTAAATGATAGAAGCAGTCACAATGCACACTAAACTATTTTTCCCTTGGGAAAATCTGGTCATGTAAAATACAGCTATTCCTGCATCAGTAAGGCACTCTGATTTTGCACTTAGTCTGTGGGCAGTATTTTCAGCAAAGTATGTAGAAATGCTGCTTCACAGAGGGAGCCATTTTGTGTATGGCACTTCCTTATCTGTCACTATTAATTACACAACTCCAGCAAGTCCTTTTGCCACCATAAAAACCTATATATTCCAGGCTTATTTAAAGTAAAAGCAGTCGAGATACATTAGGTCTATCTTGTGAGAAAATTTCACAGAGACATCCCATTATTGCTAGCTAACTGATACCTCAGGGGTTTTTATAAGGAAGTCAAGTTATTACCATGTTTATAAAGAGTTTTAACTGACCACTGCTATCTGAAGTGCTCTCTGGGTATCCCTGGATGATGGACAGAGTCTAAACATGGTGCTAATTCTATTCCTTCTGTGTTATTCTGAAAAATGATAAGAGTCAACCTCCAAGCCCCCAAGGACTCCCCCTTGCCAACAGAAGCAGATTCCACAGGACTTGTTCTTCTGGTTTGAAAGCCTAATCGAAATCTTTTCATAATCCTCCCCCATCTCTTTTCATTGTCCATAGATTCATCACTGCAATTAGATCCCAAAAGAATCCAGGCAAGAAGGTTGACAAAATAATGGCAAGATTTTATTAATATGAGTGAACAAAAATCCCATTGAAGATGTATAGGAATAATTCTAAGGATAATACTAGACAAAAAGAAAGCATAATTTTAAACCAGTCCAACTTTACTGATAGGCACATATATCAGAGATTTTCATTTCAGAATACCAGAATCTAATATTAAACAACATATTGGTGTCTGAAACTGATTCAATAATCATTACATGTATCCAAAAGAGGTAGGGTAGAATAAAAAGGTCACTAAAACATAAGACTTAAGTAGACATTTGGACACTAGTATTCCCACTTTAGAAGCTAACAAAATAATGTCTTACTGATTGTGTAAGGAAAGGGTAAAATCTGTAGCTAGGATTTAGCAGAGAGCTTAAGGCTCCTCTGTCTCTGACTAAAGATGGAAGCTGTGCTTAATGAAAGTGGAATGCCGACAATTTCTTGGTTGAAGATATAGTGAGAAGGGACTGATGGAATAATTAGTGATTAATTTATAACAGCATCCAAAGTATGAAATTGATGATATTAGCAATAAAGCCTTTTCTTTTCTTTTTCTTTTTTATATACATTCTTCCCATGGAAGAGCTCATGATTTCAATTCCCATTTATTTTACTAATACTTAAATTTACACTTCCAATTTGAATTTCTCATTTAAGTAAGAAATTTAAGGATGCCACTCAAAAAACTTGACATGTTTCCAGTCTTGAAGAAATATTAGCATGCTGTCACAACCATATTTGAGAAATTCTATTTTAAAAAAGGAGGAGTGTGCCATTGGAGCTGGCCCAGCCCACGGTAGGGTAAAGTTCATGCTGCAAGTATACTGTTGGTCCACAGGGAGTAGAATAAGGTTGCCTGTTCTTGTGGACCAGCTTTGAACTATTTGAGAGAAGCCATGGTGGTGATGGGAGATGTCATTCTGTATATGTTTCTCATACTGGTTAATGAATAAAGCACTGTTGGCCAATAGGAAAAGAAGATAGGAGGGACTAGGAGACAAGGAGGAAATAGGAAATAGGAAGGAGGTGTCAAGATGGAGAGTCTGGAGAGAATAGAACCGCCAGCCGCCTGTCACTGGTAAGACCACGTGAAAATACACAGAAATGAGTTAATAATTAAGACAGAGCTAGCCGATAAGAAACTAGCACCTGGCCATTAACATTGTATCAAATACAGAGTCTCTGTGCATTATTTGGGGCTGGCACAAGACCAGTGGCGGCGGGCAGAAAAACCGTACTCCCTACAATGGTGGTATCATTTCAAAGGGATTCAAAATGAGGAAAAGTCAATCAAATCATAAAGAACTTTCAGGGGATCATGAAAAAGCAGGCACTGACCCAAGAAAAATGTCATCAGGGAAAGAGCCACTGCCCTCTCCAACATGACAGGCATAGGCAAGTCAAGTCCAAATAGAGGAAGTAGAATGTTTAGATCTATAAGCTTGTATTGCGTTACTACAATGAACTATAATTTTAATGACTGAAATGAGAATGCTATTGTGATGGAAAATAATTGCAAAAGTAAGAAATTTGCCCAAGGTTTCACTGGGACAGGAAGAATAGAGCTGGTGAATATGACATGAAACAGAGGTGGGGGCGGGGGTTTACTTATTTCAGTTAAAACTTCACAAGCAGGGTCCGTCCAGGGAGCAATGAAAGAGTGTCAGCTGCATGTGTAGCACTGAACGCTGGGGAGTTCCTGCCATACTGTGTAAGGCCTCCTGTGAGGACTGAACACTTACCTTATGACACATATGCAGGTATAGTTCAATCCTTTCCCAGAGCAAAAAAAAACTTATTACCTGCAAAGCAAAGAAGGCGAGGTGGTTACTTTGAAATGACTAACCCTGCCCATATCGTGTCAGTAGCTCCAGTGCCTTTCACAATGGGCACCAATTTCACTTCTTGAGCTTCTTTTTATTCTCTCTTGCCATGTTACTTCTCACCCTTTTAAGATTCCTTTCCCCAGGCCACTGATACTTGAAGCCAGTCCAAATGTCGTTTCCTCTCTGTTGCTTCCGCCAATACCCTCGGAAGAATTCATTTTCTTTCCTCTGGGATCTCACAGCCATTACCACTGAAGCTTCCTCAGTTCCTGCAGATTTGTTTTTCCCTATGATGGACTTCATGCTTGGTATTACTTAGATTCACTTATAAGAGAATAGAGTTTAAGAGCCAATCTCCCAAGGGTCATTTAAAAGCTCTTTCCAGAACTGGTGCTGATATCGTGATGGCCATTAATATTGGTATATGCTCAATACATTTTAAATCATAGTCTAAATCTAGCCAGTTATCAAGTCAGTATGAACACAGAAACTGAAAACTTGAGTCCTCAGATGTTAACATATTAATGTACAAAGCACTTTCCTCTAACTAGAATAATTTAGGGTATATGGTTTTATTTATTTTTATTTAGCCTTATAAAAGTACCATTTTATTAAATATTATCATTTTCATTTGAAAATCAAAAAGCAACCAAGTTTTAGAAGAGTTATGTGACTTGACCAAGATTACTAACTAAGTAATCTTTTTTTTTTTTTTTTCCATTGCTGGGAATCAAACTCAGGGCCTTGCACAAGCATTCTCACTACTGAGCTTCACACTGACCCCTCAAAGTAAGTACTCACAAATCAAAGCCAGGCCTCTCCCCTTTTTCACTGTTCTCAAAGAAGTAGACTAAAATAGAGAGTCTGTTAAAACCATGACTCTGCTGGACACTAGTATTCTCACATTGGAAGCTAACAATCCCATTTCCCACTAATTGTTTGTAAACAGGGTACAATTCAGCAGCCCAGAATTTAGCCTAGAACATACACTACATCTGCATCTTCCTCACTGAAAGGGAACACTCATAGTTGGTCTCTTCCTTCACATCTCAACTTCCAGAACGATTTTCCTAAAATGGGAACCCATGCTTACCAAGTTGTCTTACTTTTACTTTCAAAGCCTTTCAAAATGTGTCACAAATTGTGTCTCCCCATTATTCTACATTACTCCCTTCTTAAGGAAATATCCAATCTATTTCTCTCTCTTACTACTCTCTCACAATATATTCTCTCAGCCCATAATGTTCCTTCACATATTTTTGGATAAACGGTCTCTCACTGAACTTGAAGCTGATTGATTCAACTAAGCTACTGATCAATCAGCTACAAAGGTTTACCTGTTTCTGCACTCCCCCTACTGCGGCACTAGGTTCGATTCTAAGATCTGAACTTAGGTCCATATGCTACATAGCACACACTTTGCTGACTAAGCTTTGCCCCCAGCCCTCCAATGCTACCCCTCTAAGAAGTTTTATTTGATGTTCTTTGCGGGCAGTTAGCTCTTCCCTCTTAGAGTCCCCAACAAGCTTCATTCAGGCATCTATAATAATATTTACAAAGTTCCATCTGTAGTAGTGACTTTTGTCTGTGATTCTAAATATTGAAAGAAGAAACAATCATAACTTTACCTCATATCATTCTGTGATTATTAGTTTTCATAGTCAGTTTGATTAGATTTAGAATCACCATGGAAACATTTGTGCACATGTCTGTAAGAGCTTTTACAGAAAGGGCAACCTGCCCCCTGCCACCATTCCTTCTCTACCACAAAGGACTACTCAAACTATAAGTCAAATAAACCTTCTCTCAAGTTGCATTTGTCATCTCTTAGTTTCATTGTCTGAGCAATGAGAAATGAAATGAACATGTTATCTCTGTTGAAAGCTATACATGAAAACAGAAATATATGTTTTAGTTTTATCGATTTCCACATAATCAGTACTCATTACAATACTTTCATAATAATTAATGCATTTTTTTAGAAAAAAAATATTGCAATTCATATTCAAGGTTAATCACTTGCGTGTCAAAGAGGAAATCAGTGGAAACACGGAATTATGAAATCAAAGTAAGCCCCATCTCCATGGCTCTTTCTCTTACATATTGTGTATTTTTCATGCAATGCGACTCTACCATGTCATGCAACATATACAGGGTCATATGCAAATAATTTGCAACTGAGATAGGTGACTAGCATTTGCATAGTAGAAGTGGTTTGATGCATAAGTCTCAAACTGTGAGTGTAGTACACTGGTTATTTAAATGATAATATTTAATAAATGGATAAAGTATGAAATGGGAGAATAAAAAAGTGCTCTGTCACCTCTCAAAGGGACAACTTTATCAGTCACATATTTTAAATAGCACACATCTCTTTCAGCCTTCCCTTGTGCATAAAACTGAAGCATTTGAGGAAAATTCTGACTCCACTGATATTTTTTTAAGATTTATTTATTTATTCTGTAAACAGAGTTCTGCCTGCAAGCATGCCTGCAATGCACGTTTGAAGAGGACATAGGAACACATTATAGATGGCTGTGAACCACCATATGGTTGCTGGGAATTGAACCCAGGACCTCTGAAAACAGCAGCCAGTGCTCTTAACCCCCTTAATCTCTCCAGCTCCCTGACTCCACTAATATTAAAGATTCCAGATAGATACAATAGCACGGGAAGAAGCAACCTATGAGGCTGCTCAAGAAATAAAAAATGAGAAGTATCACTCACCAAAAGCAAGGTAGTGTAGACAGTCAGGATTCCAGCTGCACTCAACATAAAAATGGACCACAAGAACCAGCGTTTAATCCCCAGATAAACAACCCTGAAAAAAAAGATTCAATCTTTAAAATATAGTAGGAATCAGTAGTAATATCTATATTAAGGATAGACACAAGAACAGACTAAGTGAGGGACAAGAAGAGAAGCACTTTGTCAACAGATCTGTGAGTACTTTGGGGATAGTTTTTATTTTAATTTTGTACTATAAGCAACCAGAAATATTAATGTGGACTCTGTAAGTGGAAAGATGTAAAAAAGGTATTTAGAATATAAAGCTAAATTTATATCATCTTCAATAAACAATGTGATGTGGAAATTCTGCACTATCAAAAGAAAGGGAATCACTCCCTAAATTCATTACATCAATATAACCAGTCAGTTCTATCTTTCAAGCTCCTTGTCTAGGTACACGTATACTTTCTTATGTAACCCCATATTAATTGCCCTCAACTGTATGAGAGCTATGACCTAAGCTTTCTGTTCCTAAAATACTGACTGTGGGAAAACTACAAGTGACTTGTTAGGGGAGATAATGTTGTATTTGTTTGTTTTCTATGATAAAGAATCTATACTTCTCATTTCAAGAAAACAGAAATGGCCTTCTTTCCACTCAGAACCTAGAGCAATACTTTAATAAAATATATAGAGTGAGAATATAACTACATTTAAAACAGTAAAGGAAATGTTCCTTTGGGAGGGTTTATAAGACACACAAAGAAGAAACAGGCGGGTAGCTTTATAGCAAGAAGCTTCTCAGGAGAAGCCTTCTAGAGAAGGGCACTCTGTAAAACGGAGCTCATGTAAGGAGGGCTAGGGATGTAGCTCAGGGGTAACTATGTGTCTAGCAATATGAGACCCCAAGTCTGATTATACTCTCAGAGGTTGGATGGAGGTCAAAAAATGGACTCAATGAAGCTTCCAAAATAGATGAAATTGTGCCCAACAAAACACAATTAATAGAACAATCAGAAAAGATTTAAAATAATATATCTAAAATCCAGTACTGGTAAGATGATTCAGTGGGTAAAAGTGCTGGCCATCATGAGTTTGATTCCCAGAACCCATTTAGTAGGAAAGAACTGACTCCTGTAAGTTGTCCTCTCACTTCCGCACATGCGCTGATACATGCGCGAACACACACACACACACACACACACACACACACAAATGTTTTGTTTATTTTTTTATTGATTTATTTTTACATTTCAATCCCAGTTCCCACTCCCTCCTCCCCTCCTGCTCCCCCACTTTCCCCCACTTCCCACCTGCTCCTTGAAGAGGGTGAGATCTCCCCTAGGAAGTCTACTAAGTCTGTCTCATCATCTCCTTGAGGCAGGACCAAGGCACCTCTCCACCCACTCCACCTGCACCCCTGTGTCTAGGCTGGACAAGGTATCTCTCCATATAGAATGGGCTCCACTAAGTCAGTTTGTATGTTAGGGTTAGATCTTGGACCCACTGCCGGTGGTCTCATACATTGTCACAGCTGCACCATTGTCACTTATATTAAGGGAGTCTAGTTTGGTCTTATACAGATTCCCATTTGTCATACTAGAGTCAGTGGTCTCTCACTAGCTCAAGTCAGCTTATTCTGTGGGTTTCCCCATCATGGTCTTGACTCCTTTGTTCATATTATCACTCCTCCCTCACTTCAATTGTACTCCAGGAGCTTGGCCCAATGGTTAGTTGTGGATTTCTACATCTGCTTCCATCTGGCTCTAGAAAAGGGTTCTAGCTTCTCTGGGGTTCTGTAGGCTGGGTATCTTTTGTTTTATGTTTGGTATACTATATTTGTCTTTCTGGTTCTGGGTTAGCTAACTCAGGATGGTTTTATCTAGTGCTGTCCATTAGCCTGCATAAACAATTTTTTGTTTTGTTTTGTTTTTTGAGACAGGGTTTCTCTGTGACTTTGGAGGCTGTTCTGAAAATAGCTTACAAGGCTGGTCTCCAACTCACAGAGATTTCCTTGCCTCTGCCTCCCAAGCGTGGATATTAAAGGCATGTGCCACCACCGCCCAGCAAACAAATACTTTTTAAAAGTTTTTAAAAAGTGATTTTTGGAGAAGTAAAGACTTGGATTTACAGAACAAAAATAGTATCACTTAACAAAAGCCCATGTCCTGCAATTAAATAACCAAATAGACTTTGAAAACAAGTTAAAATAAAAAAGATGGCCTTAGTAGTAGTTTACATGGAGCCAAAGTTACTCAAGCAGTAATCAAACACTGATATTGACTACTTCCAAGTGATAAAGAAAATTTAAGACTTGACATTTAATGAGACATCTTTCTTTGTAACCATTTTGGTAACTATATTATTTATGTTTATTTCTTTTCAACCTAAAAAAAGCTGGTGAGTATCACAACCCACTTGACTGAACCCACACAGTCTCAGCAAAGGCAGCGGCTGGCTCTCACTCTGCCGTGGACAGAACAGAGGAAAAGAAGAACTGGGATCTTTCTCTCTCCCCCTCCTCTACCGCTTCTGTCTCTGCCACCTGTGCCCACTCTTCATGGAGGTGGAGATGGGACAAAAGGAAGTGACATTTAGAATGGGGAGGGGCTCACTTCTGTGACTGCTTATACACAATGGAAGTCTCCTTTCTTGGCCAGCATTTCTTTGAACTGGGACTATATAATGCTGATGTGCACAGTGGGCTGACTGCACAGTGGGGTAGGCCCAATTTAAGCTGTTTCTTCCTACTTATGTTTTCTGAGAAGACTTTTCTACACCAGAGAGTTGTAGCCTAAGGAAAATATGTGTCTTACTTTTTAAAAATTGCCTTTGTATTTATTTTGTGAGAGCAGGAAGAGCATGTCACTGTGTGCGCGCGGCAGTCAGAAGAGAGCTCGTAGGAGTCAGTTCTCTCCTTACATTGTGTGGGATTCAGGGATCAAATTTATGTTGTTAGCCTTGGTGACAAGTTTGAGCCATATTGTCTGTCCCAGTATGAGTCTTCTTAATTAACCTGAATAGTATTCTAAATGCAGCCTCAGTGAATACCAAACTTTTGTCTAAAAATCTTGTACTCAAGTGAACATACCCCTACATACATGCAGAAACACACATGCAAACACAATTTTAAAAAATAAAATAAACCTTTTTTAAGTAAAAGATTGTATTTTCCTAGAACTGCTGTGGATATGTTCTGTGTACAGGTTTATTCAAAGAAACAGAACCACGATGAGTGGCACAAAGTAAAATTTATTACAGGGATCGTACTTAACATGCATCTGCATGGATTTGCATGAGAGGTTGTTGTACCTATATTTGGTGTTAGGCCTCACTTAAGTCACTAGTAATCAGATGGGCAGTCAGGAAGAAAATTGTGAAGTGAGAAGACTCAGAACAAACTAGAACGTCCACAGATGTACTAGAACCCATAAGAACAAACTCAAAGCCATGAGTGACTCACCACGTTGAGTTTTGACAGCATGAGCAACCTAAAGAATCTTCACCACACAGTTGTCTAAAGACTCATACAATAGTCAGACAGCTTGTAGAAAGAAGTATGGTCAAAGGTAAGGGAATTGCAGATCTCTGTGTCCCCCATATCAACAGGTATGCAGATCAGTGTATATTGACGACACCAACCTTCAAAGCAGAAAAATGGCTATTGCCTTATGTCTGCCTTTCAAACTGTATGCCATTTCTCTTGAAACTGAAACTGTACAGTGAAGAGAAATTTGTGTACAGCTTAAACAAGTTGACAATAAAAAGTCTGTACTGAAATCAAACTGTAAAGAAGCAAAACAAGCTTAAAGTGGAAAGAAAACCACACATGCATGTCATTGTAAAATTATGGAAAGCAAAGAAAGAGAAAACTCTTAAAATCAGGCAGGTTTTTCAGGGGCAGATCAGGTTCAAAAGATCACAGGCAGATAGACTAGTTTTCAACATACACAAAGCAAGAAGACGGTAGAGCAAGTGAACCTCAATGCTAAAAGGAAAACTGCAAGTTAGAACTCTAAGCCTGTGTAAGATACCCTTCAAGGATAAAGATGAAATACAGCCATTTTCACAAACTTCCAGAAATAGTTCCCAGGAGATCATTATTAAAGGAAATTCCAGGTTTTTAATGTATGTCACTATCATACAACTTTTGCTGGGCTTAGCTACAGGACTTTGATCCTACCCCAGGGGTGGGGGAAAGTAAAATACTGTGACTATTAGACATTGTACAATCTTAGTCCTCTTTAGATCTCAATTGCCAGATATCCTAAAGTTCATACACACAGAGAACAATTAAAATATGTGTGCTGAGCCGGGCAGTGGTGGCACACACCTTTAATCCCAGCATGTGGGAGGAAGAGGCAGGCAGATCTCTGAGTTCGAGGCCAGCATGGTCTATAAAGTTATACAGAGAAACCCTAAATTAAAAAACAAAAAACATGTGCTGAAGAATAATTCAGAACTTATCCATAATAAAGATTTGTAGAAACTGACAAAACTTATTGAACATGCTCAAAGTTTTCTAAAGAGAATACACTTTTTTTAAAAAAAAGAAAAAACTGTTTTGAAACACCATTACTCAAAACAAAACCACTTCATTAAGAAGACATTTTAAAGTCATCAAAACCGGAATATTTAATGTTGTCATTGGCAATTTAAAACACTAACTGACATTTGCCTTTGTTGTAAGTGGAACTGGTCATAACCTTTTGAGAAAGTACTTTGGGAGAAAACAGAATTGATGTTAAGTGTTTATTCTTCTTGACTTAGTGCCCCTTGTATTAATCTATTCTGAGGAATGATAGTCAATATATGAAGATGTCACTGTATCATTATTTTATCAAGACTTGAGTATTGGAAATGTTCATAATGCCTACCCCCAAACAAACAAAATCAGCTAATTAGCCATGCTGGCAGAGACTTGTAACCCCAGCACTTAGAAAGTGGGAATGGAGACAGTGAGATTGCAGGTTTGAGGCTGGCCTGAACTTCATAGCAAGACTCTGTCCCTGTCCTACCACCCTACCATACAGAAAGCCATACAGAAAGCAAGTGCATCTTCATGCAATATTTTGAAATGATTTAAAATAATATCCAATATAAGATCAATAATTTATCTTTATGTAAAGAGACAAAGCAAAATTATAAAAATAGTATAAACATAAGGATGTAAAATAAACACTGGGAAAAGCTGGATTATGACTCTCACTTGAAAATGTGACTAGACATTTTCCAATTTTCTGCATTTAAAAAATTATTACAGTCTATTCATTGTGTAGATATGTTCCCATAAGTGAGGTCAGAGGAAGCTTACTGCAGTCACTCCTCTTCCTTCACCATGTGGGTCCAGTGAATGGAAATCAGACTGTCAGGCTCTGTGGAAGATGCCTTTACCCACTGAGCATCTCTCCAGCCATAACCCCCCCCCTTTCATTTAAAATAACCAACTAGATTTAACTTTTGTTAGTTTTTTTTGTTCTGTTTTGTTTTGTTTTTTAAGACAGGGTTCTCTGTATTGCTTTGGAACCTGTCCTGGAACTCACTCTGTGGACCAGGCTAGCCTTGAACTCACAGAGATCAGCCTGCCTCTGTCTCCCAAGTGCTGGGACTAAAGGCGTGCGCCACCAAAGTCTGGCTTTAGATTTAACTTTTGTAAAAGAGAAAAATAAACTGCATTTCATTAAGGGAGGGAAAAGGAAGCCTTATACCTAAACATGCCTTCTCCCATAAACACCAAGTAACAGGCAAGGTTTACAACCACATTAGAAGGCATCACAGGTAAGGGTTACAGCAATGTTAGAAGGCACCAGGCCAGAAAGGCTGAGGTGTCTGAGAGTGGTCCGGCCGTAGTTTAGCCCTGAAAGGGAGCTGAAAAGAATTATGTGTCCCTCTGTTCAGTGTTCCGAGGGACCCCTAAAGACAAAAGAAGGACATGAGGGTTGTAGGAAAAACAGAGAAAGCAGGGCTGGGGGACAGAAATCATGAAGAACAAGAAGTATGGGCATAAGTAATCAAACAAAGACGACAGAGAATCCTTATGTGAGGGCTGTGGATGCTGGGAGCACAGAGAAAGTTGTGAACACCATTTGGTCTGCAGTGTGTGACTTTAAGGGATGGAAGGAAAGTATTACGTTTGGTGCTGAACATTTGACTACTACCATGGAGCTACAGCATTTGCCTACGAGCTGCGCAAAATCCACTTTTGTCCACCCTACTAAACCACCAGATCTTTTCAACCTGGGAGAACACAAGTGGCTATCCAACAAAGGAGCCCATATATCTATAAAAATACAGAAAGTGAACTCAACTCACCAGTCAAAGCTATTGTATTCATTGGAGGTTTCTGCCCACACGAACAGAAAAACTGCAGACAAGATGAATGAAATCACCAGGCACAGATAAAAAAACTGCTCTTTCTGGAAAGAGAAAGATGTCTAATTTAGCTCCATTTCTCCAGTTTATCTCAATAATTCTTGCATACATTTGCCAAAGGTCAGTGTATAGTTCTGGTGTTGAACAATACCCTGTCTAGGCTAGAATAATACAAGTTTTTATAAGGAGTAGGAATAAAAACTAAGACTGCAAAGAAGTTGAAGAGACCTTGTGGGCACTGAGGTAGCCATAGGTATCACTATCAGGAGTGTAGCTGGGTGATGAGCACAGGTTGCTGCAGCCTTATACACACTCCTCCAAAAGCTGAGTGGACCTTTAAAAAGCATGTTACCAAACAATGTCTGTGCTCAAATCCTCCCAGAGCTTCCTGTGCTATTATACCATCACCATCCAAAGAGTCCACAAGTTGTATAGGATTAGCTCTTACCCGTCCCCACCTCATGTCTTCTCCACTCTGACTCCCTTTCTGTAAAACATCAAATGTCATCCCTACTCCAAAGCCAGGCAATTAGCAGGTTTGCCTGGAGTGTATTTGTCCCTATACAAGGCTGGCTCTCTCTTCATTTAGAGATAGATCAAAGGACTTGTGGTCTCTGGCCACTCCCATATCTCTATTTTAGTATTTTTCTGCTTTATCTTCAAAGAACTTATTACTATTTGAAAACATTTTTTCATCTATTATTTATTGCATAACATATCCCACTGGAATTTAAGCTGCTGGAGGCCAGAGGAAGGCTTCAGCTGTCTTGGCTACTATGGCACACATATCTGATAAGCTTAATAAGTTTCTACTAAATAAAACTGCTTCTATTCTGGCTTGAAATATTTCAAGGTTTCCTCTCTACTTATAGAATAAAGGTCAGTTTTTTAAGCCTAGTGTAAAGATGTTATAATTTCATATAAATTTTATTTTCTCATCTTAATTATTATTTATTTCTTCAAATGTTCTTAAATTCAGCTCTAGAAATCTATTTCCCCTTAAATACACCACTGTGATTTCCTACTTTTAGATTTTTTTTTTTTTTGGTTAGTTCTCCCCTCTTCACATACACTCAGAATCCTCGTCTATGTATTTCTGTTTATTACTTTCCCAAGTCAGTGACCCTAAGAACACTACAGTAATAATATCCATTAGGTAGTAACTATGTATCATGCCCAATTCAAAGTGTATTCTACATAACATCTCTTTTATTTTCATAGAAACTCCTGTAGTGGGTTTTGCTGTTAATGTGTCACTTATTCTAATAAAGATTCTGAAACACAGAGATGTTAAGTGACTTGCCTAAGCTCTTATAAGAATGGGTCACTAACTTGGGGATGGGCAGTAGCAAAGCCATAAATTGAATCTTGTGGTCTTCCCCTTTATGTTATACTCCATCTGAGTAGAGAGGGGTCTTGAGAGTTATCTAGGAACTTCATCTAATTCAATTTCCTAGCTACGGAGAGACTCCAGTGTATTACATAACCAGGCCAAATTATAATTATTGCCCCCAAAGTTCTGATCCAGTGTCTTTACCATTATACTAGACTGCCCTAAATGTTACCCTTTTCAATACAGCTTCCCTACTTTATATCCTTTGTATATCTCATACCCAAGTAGTAAATAATCTGTCAAATCTACCCATCTTTCTCCATTTCTGCCATCACTACTCTAGTCCATGCTACCCACACGTCTTATTTGGAGCATTGCCACTGTTTCCCCTTTGGAAGCAGAGGCTTTCCTTCACTGGCCCTTCTGATACATCCTCCATACACTCAAATAACCATCCCAAAACACATCCCAGGTCCTATCATCAAATTAAAGTATTCCCCATCTGGTGATGGAGATCAAATCCAGGGCTCCATATATGCTAAGCATGCTCTACCACTGAGTCACACTCCCAGCCCTCTTTAGATATTCTTTATTTCCTGTGTAATAGGGTAAGTTCTTAAAACCATACTATCTCACCCATTTCCCTTTTCACTTCATTTCTCAGCACTTCTCTAATTATTTCTGTTCCACCTAAATAGATTTACCAGTCCCCATACTCCCCATGCACTTGGACTTCTCTAATATCATTTCTCATACCACATCCAATTCGTTACCTAGCCTTGGCCTCTCCTTTAATACATGCCTGTGTGTATACACATAAACTTGTTGCTATGCTAGAATATGAATATATTTAACCCCTTCCCCAGCAGAACATGAGTTCTTTGGATGAAGCACATTTGTGACTAGTATAAAAGCCAAATATCTGGGCATGAAAAATATGGGGGACAGAAGAACATTCTTGATTACTCCAGGGAAGCCTCCCATTACTTACACTTTTTTCCTCTATAGCTACTCAAACCAGACATAGGAAATGAGAAATCCTGGAGATATATGTAACTCAGTAGGAGAGTACTTGCCTAGTATATGCAAGGCCTTAGATTCACAATCATCAAAATCCAAAAGATAGACTGTTAGGCAGATAAATACATACTTATAAAATAAAATACAAGAACAAGAAATTAGAGATCTAATTAATGAGGTTCTTACATCTCTATTGGACTATGTTTACAATCAAGTGAAGTTACATGATTTGTCCCTCTTTTCGTTTGATCTATTATACCATATAGCTCACCAGAGGGTTCCACCTCATACTCTTAGAGAGACAAAGAGGCTTTTCATTAGTTTATGTTTCATGCTGCCACTCAGATTTACTAGAGTTCTATGTTAGTGAAAAGTGAGCACTTGCTTAGCCAGGAGTAAAGAACACCAAGGAACACACTTTCCCCTTGGAAACTGACTAAGGATAGAAAAATTAAAGACTAAGTGAGTAAAGGGTCTGAGTTCAATGCCTGGAGCCCACATGGTGGAAGGGCAAAACCAACTCCTAGAAGTTGTCTTCTGATCACCATAAATGTACTGTAGCACACACACACACACACACACACACACACACACACACACACACAATAAATAAATGTAAAAAAATTTTAAAGATTCGGACAAGGAATTCTTGTAATCTATGAACATCTAATTATATCCAAGTCTTCAGAATTCAATGAATAAATGGAAAAGTGAATGAAAAATGAATGAAAAAAAAGACATAAAAGAGACAGCCTGAAAAAGAAAAAAATAAAGGAAATAAAACTGAGGGGCTGGCCAGGGGCATTGACACATTGCTGTAATCCTAAAACTTCAGAGGTGGAGACAGAAGGATCAGGAGTTCAAGGTTTGGTTCATTTATATAGCAAGTTCAAGGCCAGTCTGGGCAACAAGAGTCCCCTCTTTAAGACACTGGGGAGCAGGGAAGAAAGCAAGCAAGCAAGAAACTAACAAAAGGGTCTTTGGCTGTAGCTCAGCAGTACAGGTCTTGCTTAGCATGTAAAAGACCCTGAGTTTGAACTCCTGTAAAACAAAAGAAGGATGAAGGGAAAGGGAGGAAGAGGAGGAGGAAGGGAAGAAAAGGAAGACAGTGAGTATATTTAACTCTAGATCTAGACTTGTCACAGTTCTTTGATAGGAAACTTGGAGCTTAGTGTACATCACCTTGGAAATTCCAAAGTTAGGGATCCACCCACACCCACATCTATGAAAATGTACTCTAACTCCTTTCCATCTCTATACCCAGGAGCAGCAACAAGATCCAAGTTCAGTTTTTTCCCACTCTCTGTATTGCCAGTGGCAACTGTAGCAGCCAGTCAGGAAGGTGATGTAGCATCTACGGTTGAAGAAGCGTTCTATCCACAGATTGGGATTCTCATTTGATTTTCCTGTCGTCTTGTTCTTAGACTCAGTTATGTCGTTATGCATGATTCACCCTTTGGCTGGAAAGACAAATGAAATAATCAGAACCTAGTGTAGCTCCTGTTCATTTACCCTAGCCTACCACTACAGACAATTCTATCAACAACTAAGATAGGCAAGAAAATTCATTTACAATCAAGGACAAAATGCAGGATTCAGGGCAGAGGAATAAAAGCTGCATCCAAGCTTTCTGACTAAGTTGCTCAACACTTTTTGCAGTCATTGTACCATCCTAGATATAGTTCTCTGACTTCTGAAGTGAGACCATATTTCTATTCTAGTCAACTAAAAGGTGCTCAAAGCAGCAAATTACACAGTATCAAACTACCATATTCTCTTGAAATAACCCAGGACCGGGCAGTGGTAGTGCATGCCTTTAATCCCAGTACAAAGGAGGCAAAGGTAGGCGGATCTCTATGAGTTCGAAACCAGCCTGGTCTACAAGAGCTAGTTCCAGGACAGGCTCCAAAAACACAGAGAAACCCTGTCTTAAACACACATACACACACACACACACACACACACACACACACACACACACACACACACACAAGAGAAGAAATAACCCAAGAAGTTATGAAAAAAATGCCATCCTCCTGCTGGGCCCACTGCTCAGGGTGAGCATTTAGCCAGAGCGCAGGCCCAATACCCCCTCCATCTCCTAGGAACTTCCTGGGTCAGCTTTGCACATACTAGACCCACCTAACTATGTGGGACCATCTTGAGCCTGCACTCACCTGATCTTTGGGCCCCATTGCCTGCCCCCTGCCTGAGGTGAGTCTGGGCCCACTGCTCTGCTTAAGCATTTGCCCAGAGCATGGGTCCAACACCCCCACCATCTCATTGGAACTTCATTGTTCGGCTCTGCACATACTGGACCCACTTATCCACGAGGGACCATCTTGAGCTTGCACTCACCTGACCTTTGGACCCCTTTGCCTATCCTCTGCCTGAGTGCTTGAGACCATCCTGAGCCTGCCTTCCCCACATCATTGGCCCTGCTGTGGCCTCTGCTTGAGAGACCTCCAAGAGAGCTTGGATGATCCAGAGTTACAGACATCGAACTCCTGACCCACCTACACTCACCGGGAAAGCAGGATAGAGAGAAAGAGACTCAAACTGGACCTACAGGAAGAAGCCATGGGAAGACAGCAATACAAGAAAACACCCAACAATAGAAAGAACAATATGACACCCCCAGAATCTAGAGACTCTACATCAACTAGACCTGAACATACCAAAACAGAAAATAACTTCATAAAAATGATAGAGGCCCTCAAAGATGGTATGAGGAAATCCCTTAAAGAAATGGAAGAAAAAACAAACAAAAATTGGAAGAAATAGAAGGAAAGACCAAGCATAAATGTAAGATATGAACAAATCTCTTGAAGAAAGTAAGGAAAGCCAAGTAAAAACAAGATGAAGGAAACAATTCAAACAGTTCAAGACCTGAAAACTGAAATAGAGACAATAAACAAAACACAAACTGAGGGAATGATGGAAATAGAAAAACTGGGTAAACGATCAGGAACTATAGATGCAAGCATAACCAACAGAATACAAGAGAAGGAAGAAAGAATCTCAGGCGCTGAAGATAAACTAGAGAAAACGGATTCATAGACCAAAGAAAATCTTCAATCCAACAATTCCTTAATACAAAATATCTAGGAAATGTGGGACACCGTGAAAAGACATAATAGGCATAGAAGAAGGCAAAGAAGCCCAGCTCAAAGGTGGAGAAAACATATTCAACAAAATCATTGAAGTAAACTTTCCCAATCTGAAGAAGGACATGCCTTTGAAAGTACAAGAAGCATACCGAACACCAAATAGACTGGACCAAAAAAAAAAAAAAAAAAAAAAAAAGTTCCCTCACCACATAATACTCAAAACAACTAACATACAGAATAAAGAAAGAATATTAACAGCAGCAAAGGAAAAAAGCCAGGTAACATATAAAGGCAGACCTATAAAAATTACAACTGACTTCTTCATGGGAAACTTTGAAGGCCAGAAGGTCCTGGATAGATGATCTACAAATACTAAGAGTCCATGGATGCCAGCCCAGGCTACTATACCCAACAAAACTCTCAATCACTATCGATGGAGAAAACAAGATTTCAATGACAAAGCCAGATTTTCACAATACATATCCACAAATCCATCCCTACAGAAAGTTCTGGAAGGAAAACTCCAACCCAAGGAAGTTAGCTATGCTCACAAAGACATAGGCAATAGATAATCCTACTTTACCAGAACCCAAAAGAAAAAGAGGGGCAAATATACTCACAATACCACTGCCAACAACAAATCTAAAACAAACAAGAATTAACAATCAATGGCCCTTACTTTCCCTCAATATTATTGGTCTTAACTTGTCTATAAAAAGACACAGGCAACAGAATGAATATGAAGACGAATCCATCCTTTTGCTGCATACAAGAAACACATCTAAGCTTCAAAGACAGACACTACCTCAGGGTAAAGGGTTGGGAAAAGATCTTCCAACCTAATGGACCCAAGAAGCAAGCAGGTATGGCTATCCTAATATCTAAAGAGTTAGACTTCAAGCCAAAATCAATCAAAAGAGATGAAGAAGATCATTCTATATTCATCACAGAAAAATCTATCAGTACAAAGTCTCAACGTCTGAACATCTATACCCCAAATACAAAGGCACCTACATTCGTGAAAGAAATGCAACTAAAACTCAAAGCTCACATAAAACCTCACACACTCATAGTCGAGACTTCAACACCTCACTCTCACCACTATACAGGACCACCAGACAGAAATTTAACAAATAAACAAAAGAACTACAGAAGTTATATCCCAATTGGGGTTAACAGACATCTGTAGAACTTTCCATCCAAACACAAAAGAATATACCTTCTTCTCAGCAGTTTCATAAAACCTTCTCTAAAATTGATCACACACTCAGCAACATAACAAACTCAACAGATACAAAAAAAAAAAAAAAAAAAAAAAAAAATTGGAATAGCCCCTGGTATCAGACCACCATGCTTTAAAGTTGAAATCCAACAATAACACAAATTGCAGAAACCCTACAAACTCACAGAAACTAAAAAATGCACAACTGCACCATTCCTGGGTCGAAGAAATAAAGAAAAATTAAAGACTTCCTAGAATTCAACAGGAATGAAGACACAACATGCCCAAACTTATGGGGACACTTTAAAAGCAGTGCTACAAGGAAAGTTCATTGCACTAACTGCCCTATGAAGAAAATGGAGGCTGGTCATATTAGACAATTAACAGCACACTGAAAGCCCTAGAACAAAAAGAAGCAATCTCACCCCGGAGGAGTAGATGCCAGGAAATAATCAAATTGAGGGCTGAAATCAATAAAGTAGAAACTAGGAAAACAATACAAAGAATCAATGTAACAAAGAGTTGGATTTTCAAGAAAAATCAGCACAATAGACAAACCCTTGTTGAAACTAACCAAAAAAGCAGAGAGAGAACATGCAAATTAACAAAATTAGAAATGAAAAGGGGACATAACAACAGACACTGAGGAAATCCAGACAATTTTCAGGTCATACTTTGAAAACCTGTACTCCACAAAATTTGAAAATTCAAAGGAAATGAACAAATTTCTGGATAACTATCACTTACCAAAAATAAATCAAGAAGAGATAAGCAACTTAATTAGACCTATAACCCCTAATGAAATAGAAGCAGTCATCAAAAGCCCCCAACCAAAAAAAAAAAAAAAAAAAAAAAAAAAGCTCAGGGCCAGATGGCTTCAGTGCAGAATTCTACCAGAAATTCAAAGAGCAAATACCAATACTCCTCAACTTGTTCCACACAACAGATGTAGAAGGTTCATTACCAAACTTTTTTTTACAAGGCTACAATTACCTTGGCACCCAAGCCACACACAGTCACAACTAAGGAAGAGAACTACAGACCAATATCCCTCATGAACATTTATGCAAAAATACTCAATAAAATACCAGCAAATCAAATCTAAGAACACATCAGAGAAATCATCCACCATGACCAAGTAGGCTTCATCCCAGGGATGCAGGGATGGTTCAACATATGAAAATCTATCAATGTGATCCACTATATAAATAAACTGAAAAAGAAAAATCATATGATCATCTCACTAGATGCTGAAAAAGCCTTTGACAAAATCCTACACCCTTTCATGATAAAGGTCTTGGAGAGATCAGGGATAACAGGAACATTTCTAAACATAATAACTACAATATACAGTAAACCAACAGCCAACATCAAACTAAATGGACAGAAACTCAACACAATTCCTCTAAAATCAGGGACGAGACTGTCTACTTTCTCCATATCTCTTCAATATTGTATTTGAAGTTCTAACTAGAGCAATAAGACAACAAAAGGAGATCAAGGGGATACAAATTGGAAAGGAAGAAGTCAACCTTTAACTATTTGCAGATGACATGATAGTTTATACAAGTGACCCGAAAAACTCTACCAGGGAACTCCTACAGCTGATAAACACCTTCAGCAAATTGGAAGGATACAAGATTAACTCAAAAAAAAAAAAAAAAAAAAAATCAGTAGCCCTACTATATACAGTCGATAAGGGGCTGAGAAAGAAATCAGAGAAACATTACTCTTTACAATAGACACAAACAACATAAAATATCTCGGGGCAACACTAACCAAACTAGTCAAAAACCTATATAGCAAGAACTTTGCATCTTTAAAGAAAGAAATTAAAGAAGATACCAGAAAATGGAAAGATCTCTCATGCTCTTGGATAGGATAAACATAGTAAAAATGTCAATCTTGCCAAAAGCAATCTACAGATTCAATGCAATCCCCATCAAAATCCCATCACAATTCTTCACTGACCTTGAAAGGATAATACTCAACTTTATATGAAAAAACAAAAGACTCAGGATAGCTAAAACAAGCCTGTCTGTACAATAAAGGAATTCAGGAGGCATCACCATCCCTGAGTTCAAGTTCTACTATAGATCTATAGTCTTGAAAAC